TATTATGGTAAGTCATTTAAAGGCTGACCATCTTTAATGTCAGCTGTAGCAGTGATATTTTTAGGATTATTATTATTATTATTATTATAAATGAATAAAAATAAAATAATAATGAAAATTATAAATAAAAAATAAAACAATAACATTAAAACGTTGTAAAAAATAAATTAAATAAAAATAAAAAAATACTCTCAGCATGCAACAAAAATTGTTCCTGTCGGAAATACGTGCATCTCGCCAAAAGATGTTAAATTCAATCTTTTCACCACGAACCTTGGTACGGGCAACATGTGTCCAACTTCTTTCTGTGTACGTTTTATTTCCAGTCAAGTGTGCTTTTATCTCCGTGAACACAAGGCTAATACCTGCTGCTATGGTGTGAGTGAATATTCGATATCTCTAAGTCGTTCGACTTTTTAAATTATAGATGCTTAAGTACCCAGGTCAATAAAGAACTAGCTTGAAACGTGTTTCAATCTGAGCTGCACAGACTAAATTATAAACAAAGCAAGATGATTCTTCTTTCTTGAAGAAAGTAAGACCGGCTGATAAGAAGTGTAAAAACAACCAAAACGTGAACAATTAAAAATAAAAACTGAAAAAAAAAATAACTAGAGAGTAATGGTGATGTAAGAAAATCGAAAATCAGCTATTGCAAGTTTCACTGTTATTAGGAAAGGTCAAAAGTCAAATGTAGAAGAATGCATGTCAAAACGTCTAGCAAAAGTTAGGTAAAATATACATCGACGGATTTGTATTTTTTCCTAATGTTTTGTTAGATGTGCCGATTGATATGTTCATCATGTGACCTGTACACACACACACATACATATATATATATATATATATATATATATATATATATATATATATATATATCCCTTTGGGCAGCTTAAGCATCGCCTATGGGATGTTCATGGGATTTCACTGAAAACGAAAATCAGTGTCTATCGAGCAGTCATTCTTACCACACTTCTTTATGGGTCAGAATCGTAGACGCCATACAGGACATACATCAATCAACTTGATGCTTTTCATAAACGCTGTCTTTGTTCAGCATGCGGTTATGCACGGCAGGACAAAATTTAACAAAATAGGAAGTATTACTTTCGGAACGACTGTCAGATGCGAATATCACTTGCATTAGATAGTAAAACATTACCACATGCTACCGCAACTTATCAAAGAGAAACATATCCTTATTAGGATTATTCTCTACCTTATCGTAAAAAGAATATAAAAAAATAAATCTGTTCTGTCTTTCAACACAAAAGATTACAAAATGAGCTCTGTATTAGATATCTTCATTAGAGCTTTCCTTTCGCAGATTCTATCAATTCCTGCAGTTAAAGTCGACATTAAAAAAAAAAGGCAACATTTCGGTTGATGTTGATCGCGATCCATTTGTTTAAGATTTGCATTCTTTCTTTCTTTGCGTGACCAATGTATGCCGCCTCTGTTTATTTAAAGAAGCGCCCAGCGTTATCTTTAAAAACAATATTATCTTTTGAGGTTGGCACCGAAGCAGTGCCTGCTTTTGCTGATCCGACCGACACATGCAAGTTCTTCCTGTAAAGATAACCATTCGCAAAGGAAACTTAGAATTTAATCTTTAGCACATTCTCGGACCAGAACAGTGGATCTCCTGTACACGGTTAAAACTCTCCGGTGACCAAGAGTTTGGTGGAGGGAGAGAGAGAGAGAAACGGGATGAGAATATGAGTAAAAGAAAGAGAGAAGCGTAGACGCCATATTTTTTTTTGTAATAATGAACAAATATTTAAACATCTTAAATGGAAATCATTCTTTGACTACTCATTTATAGATCCCCCACTGAACGAACATGAATTTAATAAAGTACTGATCGTAGCAAGATATTTGAGAAGTAGCATTTAGTTGGCCATAAATGTAAGATGACCTAATGTAATGTTACGCGGCATGCTCCAAATTCTATCATTCTTATTTGTTATCAAGGCGTATCGTGAGAGTACCATGTCCTGTCGTTATATGAGTAGGATGAAACCAAAAAAACATGTAGTCTTGCTCTCATATCTGGGCTGGTGCTACACCGTCCTTAATATCCAGCTTGTACAGAATTCAAATCGATTAGTCTTTTAAGGTAATTATTTTCAACCCTACAACCCATTTCCTCACACGAAAAACGTTGTCATCTTTACGTTGTACGCTCCGGCCTTCTTCAGGTGATATACGTTGGAGTTTCGAACTGAACCCTTTATTTCATCCTCCGCTGTAGACTGATCTAGTTCCACGTGCCATGCCTTTTCTGGATAACTTAGTTTCAGTTATTTCCTTTTAGCAACACTATTCTCCAAGTTTTTGTTCATCTCTACTGTGGCCAGGTATTGAACTCATAACTCTTTGGGTCAAGTCACTGTATTACTTCAACCAACGCTTTTATCCACTGAGCCACGTGGAACTAGAACAATCTACCCAGATAGACGAAATAAAGGGTTCGGTTCGAAATAGCAAATTATATCACCTGAAGAAGGCCGGAGCGTACATCGACCGAAACGTGAATATGACAATAAAGACGAGAACAACAGTCCGAACAATGTAAATAGCGTAAATAGCTATTTTCAGGAAAATGTTCTGACGAGCTACATTCCTTTTGTTCCACCAGTTCAGACCTTTACATCTAAGAGCCGCCATGCCACGTAACAGACGTGAACCAGCTTCATTATCTTCCTCTGGTAATAAGGAACTTCCGTTCGAGGAACTCCTTTCCAAGAACTGTTGCTTTGCAGAACAGACTCCCGAGTAGATGCTTCCTCGATCACTAAAATTGTAATCTCTTCAAGTTGAGGTCAACGGTTATCTATCTTATATATACTTATAATTTGCGATCATTACCTTCTCTTCTTATGCCCAATAAAACATTATTCAGTAACCCTCTACATTGAGTGGCTCTTGGACATTATATTGGCTGAAGAGTAGCGAAAGAAAATACACTAGTTATCAAGAGCAGTCTATCGTACCAGTGGCTACACAGTGCTATATGCAAATACTGATGAAGTGTGTTGGGATGATGTCTTTCATTCACGTTTAGTCGGACACAAACTGTTTTCACTTAATATTTAACAAGCGGTAAGTCAAACTTTCATGATTATTCAAGTAGCTTTTTGATTATCACTGCCAAGTATGTTTCTTTTCTTTATAGTTATAATTGGGTGAATTACAAGCAGTTTTAATTCTTTACTGAACTTATAAATTCATTTTTAATATTGTCATTTTGAACAAAAAGTACAAGAAAAGGCCCAACCACAGTGACTCGGATATATCCAGCATTCTGAAAGTGGTTAGATTAACAAGCGGATCCGTTGCAGAGAATCGACAGACCAAGCTCTTTTATTGCTCCAGGGCATTAGTTCGAAATCTTTGTATTCCATTTCCAAGATTGGTTGGCAACCAAGACCAGACAACAGTCTAATTTGCTGTTTAATTCCTAACTAAAAGGAAGGCATATTAATGTTTTTCCCACCTACTCTTACATTAATATCACAATTCTCATTCATCATTACCATTTTTTAATTGAATTCCCCCCAGGCAAAGCAGTAAAGCCACCAAGACACAAGGGGTCGGTGCGTGTTGAGGAAGTAAAAAAAATGAAAAGTTACTAAGGAGTAAGAACAATAGAATAGTAAACAGAAAGACTGTAGATAAAGATAGAGGTCGCATTTCCATTTTTGGTGATCAAAGGTGGCTTGAAAGCATGAAAGCGGAAAAGAGTTCCACAAGCAAGAAGTGCGAGAGAAAAAAACATTATAGAACTTACGGTTGCATCTAACCAGTTTAACTGTAAATTGATGAGACTTTGTTGCCAGTCTAGTACTGCGCTCAACTCTTGAGTGACTGTTCAGTTCACCTGTCTACGGACGGAGAGGAACCCGAAGGAGGCTACGCCGAAGGACGGAGTCTCCTTCGGGGAGGTAAAACCGGCCCTGAACCCGTTTATACGGGGTTAAACAATATTTTTGTCCGAGCCTAATGGCTCGGAAATGCCCACGTTAAAAGGCCTTGTTACACATGACACCCTCGTGGGGACGACTAAATATAGTCTAGTACTGCGCTTAAATACATAATGTTTTGGTACTATAACGAAAATAATTTATAAGAAAGGCACAAGGAAGCAACTTTACGGCGGGGTGAAAGTGACTGAAGCCGAGAGGCCAGATCAGGACCAACAATATTGCTTATTTTTCTTGGGATCATATCAAGAATCTCTAAGAATATAGTAGGAGCATCGGACTTTATGTGTCAGCAATATCCCTAAAAACATTTTCTTGCCTTGAGTGGCTGCCGAGCCTTGTATTGGGTATATTTCGGTATAAATGTTATCTTTTAAGTATATTTGACTCTAGTCGTATCAGTCTTGACTGACAATTTCAGTTGTAATAGCTGTATTTTGATATATTAAGAACAAATTCTTTATTTTATGCCTGACTCCATTAACATAAAAATGAATGACCTTGGAGTTGTCCAGCGTTACTCACCATGACTGATGCGTACAACATTTGTGATGGCCCCGGGGGTTGTAAGCGGTAGCATTGACGCTGAGGTCAATGCTACCGACTACATGTAGGTGTAAGATACAGTGATTAATCCCTGGGTGACTGTAAACGTTCTACTAGGACATTGCTACTTCCCACAATATCCAGGAGAGGCTGGCTGATAATTTTCCCGATCATGTCACCATCTATATATGGCTACATATTTTGAATTCCTTGAATGTTGTAAGTTGGTTGGTTGTTTTGGTTTAGTGACATATTAACACCTTTATGGGCTATTTAATGCTGAAATAATAAATATTTTGAATGCAATTTTATTTTGTTTTTAATAATAAGATTCTTTCAAATAACTCATAGCTGCGGGAGAAGAGGTGGATTCATACCTTTTTCAATGTTGTCTGCGTCTAAGTGAATATAACAAATCCAAATGGAACGCTTTCGTGCAAATTCGAAAATTTCTTTCCACGACGCCGGCTAGGCGCACGACGCGCATTCGGCGATGAAGACTGACGAAGCCTTCGGTCGGTCCGGCTGTTGCGCGCCCGAACCGCGCCGACTGACTCTTTCATCCCTCGGTCGACGCCGCCGGCTCTGCTGCCGCACGACCACCACGACCAGCGACGGGGCTTCGGCGGCGGCAGCCAGCCAGCGTGCTACCCATCTGGCTCGCTGTCTCTCGCGCGCGGCTGAAGGACTGTCTTAAGCGGTGAATGTGACTTGGCTCTCCGATTAACAATTCTGAGCCGTTTTTCATTATACCACGCGATCTTTCAAGCTTACAGCACCTGGTATTCCCAGTTGGGAACACATTTAGACACTAACCAGGTTCGATGTTGATTAACTTCGGTGATCGTACGAAAAGCGGCGCTTCAACGTGATATGACCGTATGCCCCAACACACATATAATCCAAACCTTACGCGAGCTGATATTCCCAATCGGTCACCCATCTAGGTACTGACCAGGCTCAACGATGCGTAACTTCGGTGATAGTACAGGAACCATTGTTTCGACGAAAACAAAATATTGAGAATTACAGAGAGGGTTACAGGATGGAGAGTGTGAATATCTAATGCTACATTCTCAAAAGAAAATTAAATATAATATTTCAAAATGACACGATGTATCATAGCGTAGCACCTGCTCTTTACAACTTACAATATCTAGAGAACTTTCAACTTGTTGAAAAACATAGAACGTATGAACTATACCCTATCTTTTTGCATAAATAATGTTAACTCGGATTAAAATAATCAATGTATTCATTTTTTCATACTAAATTTTAAAAAAAATACAAGACGTGAGAGACACTAAGGTGGTAGGTTTACACTTAAAATGGTTATGATAAATGAGGTGTGGTGTGAGTGAAAAAAGAGCGGGTAGAAAGTGAAGATTATGAAGTTAAGAAGGATAGATAAGGACTAGGATCAGTCCATATATATCCTTTATTTAAACCTCGTCTACGATCTGATAAGGTCAAAATTGTAAGGGTCAGGGCGTCTGTCCGACATAGTAGTTTTTCCGTGAGAAAAAACCGAGTTGAAGAATATAAGAGATATACAGGTGATTTGACTCAATAGAATTATCGTGGCGTATCTTAGCAGTAAAGGTTTGAAACAAAATAATAGACCTGAGTGGAAAATAAATCTTCCCCGACAAGAATGCATCAGCGATTTTGAACTACCAAAGCTGGAAAGTTAATAGTGAGCAACTCCAGACAACATATGACAGCAATACTCCATTTTTTACAAACTGATATCGACTGAGAATTACTTATCCTTGCCACATATCTTTACTGAACTTCATTCAACCAGACGGCCAGTCTAGTTTCGAAAAACAAACGAAATCTCTTCTTTTACAAATCGCGTTGCTATTAGAAACAAATAGGTCAGTGGCTAATATTTCAACTATGGCCTGCCAAGTTTTTCTCTCTTGATTAACCTGCTCGCTGGAATACTGTAAGAAAAATCTTGGGAATTCTGTGAGAGGGTTACAGCACCATTGGAAGTAAATCGTTCCAGAATTCTTTGGGCTTCTTAAGTTACATTTGATGTTTTCAATGAAAGATAATTTCTTCAATAACTTCAATAAAAATTCTACACTGACAATCGCTATGTATACATCACTGATTTCGCAAGTGACAGTCATCTTCACAGACGGAGAAAAATGAGCGAGGAGCAGGATTCATACTAGACCAAGACATGAAGAAATGTGTCTTTGGATAATGTCAACTGTCTGATAGGATTTCTGCTGTTAAATTGGAAGGGACGCTTTTAATATAATCATTGTAGTTGTATAAAATACGGAGGAAGTAATTGAAAAGATTTACTGCGCGCTGGACAAATCCAAGGCTCAATTACAATCTTCATGGGAGACCTGAATGTTAATGTAAGGAACGAGCGAAATGGTGAAGAGAGCCAGGGCCGCAGGCAAATTGCAATACGACAGACTCCTAAATAATCCGAATTGCAAAGAAATGTATACTGGCAGCAGTAAAAGGAGATGCAATTAACTGAGGATGGTAGCTGGGACCCATTGATATAAACTTTAGTAGCATCAGAAAAATGAAATCATCCCAAAGAATACTAGACAAGGAAAAAAAAAAGAATGGGTGATAGCTGAAATTCTCGACATGAAAAGGAGACAATAAACAATACCAAGGTATGGTACAGAATATAAAGAATTACACAAAGAAATTAAAAAGGCAAGCAAAAGAGGAATAGCACAAAGAGAAGTGCGCATAAATAGAAAATATAAGCATCACAGAAAAGGTAGATATGCATAAAAGAATAAGTGATATTACAGTAGAAATATATGTTCATCGACAGGATGCATAAAATAAAAAGCGGAGATGCTTTTAATGTTGAAAAATATTATAAGGATGAAATGTAAGATGAAAGAACTTACAAAGCACAAATGTACTAGTGAATTCATCCAAGCGGAAAAATTTGCTCACTATCCAATGATGTTATTTGAACGTTTACGGAAACCAAAGAGTGGATGTAAGCACTGTTAGCTGGCGAGTATTGCGCTTCAGCAGTAGCGGCAGCGATGTTTATGACAAACCATGTACTGAGAGCGACGTTGATACGCGTCTCCATCATCAGCGAAAATGCAGTTTTTTTTAGTGATGGTAATGATAATATTAGCTGTTTCATTATAAGGAAACATTACGTAGCGTTAACGTTCTCTTGATGAGAACACGAGGCTAAATCTCTCCCTCTGTTGTAACCTAGGGAAGGTTACTGAATAAAATAATCAAACGAATGTTGGTAATGAGTGATAACACTTAGGACAAGAACAACATATATAAGATTCGCCAGCATTACGTAGAAGAGGTAGTCAACTGCTAGAAATGAGTCAAGTGAATTGCACATTGTATCTCCAAATGCAGACCAACATACAGTATTTACTACTGCATTTATGTCAATTGGGACGTGCCCATTATCGTCTGTAGGTATTCTACAATATCCTCGTAAATTTATATTTTAGGGCGTAAGAGAACCTCTTCCTCTTCCATCTTGAGTAGTTAATATATCAATAGACATGAACGTTCTAGGTGTTGCTGGGTTCAACTACATGTTAAAGTAGTCACTGAAATGGAGTGAACCGTAAATCTGCACCTGATGGCTTGGAGGTACTATCAAATCTGAGCTGGAGCTGCCTAATCCCCACTTTCAAGCCTGGGCAGAGTACTAGTTCGTTTACGCAGTCTTCAGAGGTATGACATTTTCTACCATTTCCAACAGACGCAACGTCGCAAGCCCTTCGTTACTTCCATAGTAAATATTCAGGATGAGCTATATTTTAAGTGCCACCCGCTGAGACCTTTACAACCAAGACCCGCTTTGCTCTGTCCGCAAAGTTGGACCACCCTCATTCTACTCTTAAAACTTTTCGTCAAGAACTTCTACCTTGTCAGGGAGACTCTCGTGTGGATGATTTTCCGAACACTATAATTTTAGTCTTTTTGTGGAGTAAGTAGCCATGGTCAAATGCAAAATAAGTCACAGAACTGCCCAAGAAACAGAATTGACAAAGTTTGCAATAAACAACAACAAGAAAAAGAAAAGAACAGGGCAAAAAATAATATAAAACAAGCAAACAATATATGCAAGGCAAATTAAGAGTAATAAGGCAAAGCAACAGAAATATGGCAAAAAGTTCACAAACTAAGAATTGGAGTTGACATACAAAAGCAAGTTCGGACAAGCGAACAAAGCGTTCTGACTTTAAGACAAGACAGACCGGGACTAAGTCAGATGAAATGGAGAACCAGTCTATTTTATTGGCTAAGAAAAATACCAGCATGCATTTGTGTGCTTCTGCCTATAAAATGGTGAGGGAGAAAGTGTCATTCCTAGCGTTTGAAATTAACCCTCTTAATGTCTAGAGTTAATCGTCATATACTTGTGATTTTTATATTTTACTATCTTCTCCTACATTTATATCCTACACTTTATTCAGTGACCCTTTATCTTGTGTAACTCTTGAGTTTTGTATCGTACTAACTTTAATCGAAAAACAAAATCCGATGATGCAGCTGGCTTCTCTGAAGCACCAGAGTAACACTGAATGCAAAGTCTATTTTGGCAAGAACTTGGGTAAGTCATATATTACATATGTGAAAATATGATGATTTGTGCTCTATCCATCTGTGATATTTTTCGCCCTTTGTTTATTGTAGCTTCCGTGGAAATTAATAAGAGGGTTTACTTTCAGAACGAGCCTCGTACCTTTTGTGTGCGTGAGTGAGCTGGGTTGAAATATTAAATGTTTTGAAAGAAAACAAATCGTGGGCTCAAATAATGTAAACTACAAGTAGATATAGACATTTTAAGCCGGGAAAAGATTTGGTAGATACTAAAATAGGATTGGCTCTTTTTTTTGCGACGATATGCTATAGATGATAATTTCAAGTACGTACTTACAACAAAGAATGCTACTTTAAAACATTTCAGAGATGATCACGTTAACGAGATTTACTTATATCACGTGATTATATCTTATCTACGAGAACCAAGTATTTGCAGGCATTAAACAGGTCGTCATATTCTCTATATTAAGTCGGTTAGAATAAAAGAAAAGGGAGTGTAATGGATGGCGAGAGAGAGAGAGAGAGGAGCACAGAAAACTATGTTGATTTTATTTTTTAAGCGTTCTCTCAAACAATCTCGTAAGGTGTACGAGAGTTGCTGTTCAATATACGTGAGGTATTGCTGTCTAAAAGGGAATCTTACACGCATAACGGAAACTCTAGTCAACAGAATCGGAGATATTATATGAAAAAAATAAAATTCGTGAAAAAATATCTAGAGATAAAATTAAAACTATCAAAGAAATCAGTGGAAAATGAAAATGGCAAAATTAAAATAAATTTATAAAGGGATTATATATATATATATATATATATATATATATAGGCAGCATATCTTCATGCAAGGATGTTCGATTGAATAATCTAGACATATTATGTCTATTTTTTATTTTAATCCTCTCAAATACAAGGATCAATTTCTTAGTATTGTTACAAAACTGATTTTAAAAAAGACGCCGTAGTTTTGGTTACTTCTTTTATTTTCCCAAGTACTTTCAATCTGATCTGCGATCATCTTCAGACGTGAATTAAGACCAAAAAATTAATGTAATTGACACTTGAGAATTTTTTTTGTAAATGCCCCTGAAACGCGTTCCTTTACACTCAGTTTACAAATTAACTGTAAGGGAGGTAACTTAATTTATACTTTTATTATTAACGTTTTAAAATACTCAACCTGTATTTAAAAAAAAAAATTATAATTTAAGCATCCCAAAACATTGCTTTTATAGACATTTTAAAAGCATTGTTGCTTGACTCATAATTAATTTTATCTAATCTTGGTTGCATTTCTAATATCGAGTGCTTCAAGAATTTGAAGTTTTTGTTTTGTATTTTCATGGTGGAGTATACTTGTATTATCAATTGATATTTCTCTAAAACATGAATATGGACCGAAATTTTCTTTTAAATGTTGTGCAATAGAACTTGAATCCGACATGTATAAAATAAGACTTCTTGATAATGTTGCTGCCGTTAAACCAACATATACATTTATTTTATTTTTTATTTATTTTTTTTTTTGCCAGTGATACAATCTTTCAAAATACATTTAAATTGATATACAATGTTTGTCTTTTGCAAAACATTAGTTGAGCTATTGCGTATGCATAAGTTGCTTGTATTAAATTTAGTATAGAATATAATTAGAGTTATTTTTGCTGGGATCAGTGGGGGGATATATTAGTATATATGAGGTTTTTAGGATTTTTTTCATCTTATAGTTAGAGTGTATTTGATTACGGTATATTAGATTGACATATTTAGGGTTATTTGAGTAAGAGTTGCGTGTGTGTGTGCTTTTTAGTTTATGTTAATATTTCTAATAGCTCGTTTAACTTCTTCATCAGCAATCTAATTAAGAAAATCATTATTAATGAGTGTTTATTTAATTTCTTTTTTAATTCCGTGTAGAAATTTTTTTTTCCGGAAGAGCTAATCTTTTGCTACGGTTTATTAAATATTGTGTAATCGCTGTTTTATAATAATCAGGACCTTCACTCTTATAATTGAGGGTGCACGTGTTTGTGCTGGTTAGTTTTTTTTTTATATGGGGGTAGTAAGAGTATAATTGTTGGTGTCTATCAGTATATCAAGAATAGCGATCCTGTTATTGTTAAGTTCGTATGTGAACTTAAAAACGAAGTATTTTGGAGTTCCTTTATTTCATCGAGGTTTTTAACATGACGTTATCATCTACATATCTTAGATAGATGAAGGGTTTTTAGTGGTATGAAATATAGTTTTTTTTTAATATTGCAGGTTCAGTATTTTAAAATATTAATAATAATGAATATAAATTAAGTTACTTACCTTACATATTCCTAACGTTAATTTTTAAATTGACTATAACGGAGCGAGTTTCAAGCGTATTCTCCCCCAAAATCACAACTATCAATTACGTTAATTTTTTTTATCTTGGCAATTCAACCCTGAGGATGATCTTGAACGAGAGTGAAAGTACTTGGGAAAATAACCAAAACTATGGCGTCTTTCTTAATCAATTTTGTAACAATACTAAGAAATTGATCCATGAATTTGAGAGAATTAAAATAAAAATATAGACATAATATGTATAGATTATTCATCGAAACACGTTATATATATATATATATATATATATATATATATATGGGCGGACGATCTATAAATTTTCAGATATGAAGAACAATTTTAGGGAGAACACTATGACAAAGTGGAAAAAAAATTTCGTGTGACGCTTATCGTTCTTTAGGACTCCACTGAACTTGAATGATGTTTAAATTGATGTGGCTACACATACAAACAAAGGAAAGACGGCACCGAGGCAAAGAAAGAAAGAAAGAAAGAAAGAAAGAAAAAAAAAGAAAATAAGGGTGTAGAGGTAAAGAAAGAAAGAAAAAGGCTTAGAGCCAAAGAAAGAAAGAAAAACAAAGGTTTAGAGGTAAAGAAAGAATGACAAAGATATAGAGGTAAAAAAAAAAGAAAGAAAAAGATATAGAGGTAAAAAAAAAGAAAGAAAAAGATATAGAGGCAAAAAAAGAAAGAAAAAGATATAGAGGAAAAAAAAAAGAAAGAAAAAGATATAGGAAAAAAAAAAAAGAAAGAAAAAGATATAGAGGAAAAAAAAGAAAGAAAGAAAAAGATATAGAGGAAAAAAAAAAGAAAGAAAAAGATATAGAGGTAAAAAAAAGAAAGAAAAAGATATAGAGGCAAAAAAAGAAAGAAAGAAGAAAGGCATATAGACGAAGAAAAAAAAAGCCATAGAGGCAAAGAACGAAAATAGGCATAGAAAAAATATTAAGAAAAATGCATAGAGGCAAAAAAGAAATAAAAATGCATGGAGGCAAAAAAGAAATAAAAATGCATAGAGGCAAAAAAAGACAGAGATTCAAAGACAAAAGAGTTGGAGAGAAGAAAAAAGATAGAGAATGAGGCGCAGGTGAGAAAAGAAAAAAAAAGATCTATAAAGAATGTGTGAGAAAGAAAAGGGTAAGGTATATGCAGTTGACGTTCTGATTAAAGTCATTAAATCCGAAGAAAAGAAAAAATAGGCCTTCTGCCCTACTTGTTTGCTGAGATGTGCATATCAATCCACTTTCACGCAATCGAGCCACAACTGGAAAGGGAAAAAAAAAAAAAAATGTCGGAAACCAAAAGGAAAACAACAACGCGACGAATGCAGTAATGTTGATGAATATATGAAGAAATTTGAAAGAATTATTTCGAAACCGGTTTTCTACCGGAATATTTATATTTTTTTCTGTTAAATAAGCAAACTTAAAGACCTGAAAGCAACTTGTTGATCAACGATCTTATCACCGCTTACGTATGTATGGACATACTCAAACTTATGTAAAACCGAGTTGCACAACCAAGCAAAATATATATATATATATATATATATATATATATATATATATATGCAGTAACCCTTCTGTTATACATGTCTCATTGAATTCTACGAATAAAGAATATTTTGTAAGTTTTTCAGTCAATTTTTCTAACAATTTTTTTCCTTTTTGAGAAAATGTCTGTATTGATTATTGTAGTTATTTTGAAAGGGGCGCTTCATTTTGGTTGTAAATATATTTTGTTTTATTCGAAAGGTACTAGGGACAATAAAAAAAATTACAAATATTCATCGTTCGTGGTTTTCAATAACACACACACACACACACATATATATATATATATATATATATATATATATATATATGAATGAATGAAAAAAAAAAAAACTTTTCTTTACCAACGTGTTTCGTCCTCTAATGGATCCTATCAAGGAAAATGCAAGATTTTTATTTTGCACCAAGTATTTATTAACAGAAATAAAAACATATCGTTAGGTTTTACAAATTTTGAAGTTTAAGAATGCGCCAAAATATTCTCAAGACTATACGTGTAAGTAAAGGTAAACTATGGACGATGCTGAGTAATATAATGCTTAATAAACGAAGGTGAATAAATATTGTTATTGTTGAATTCGTTTATATTATTTTATTTCATTCTTTATATTAATATATAATTATTGTTTATTATTTTATTTTTATTTAATAAATTATTTATGTATTTATATACAGGATGTGGCAGATATACATCCCAAATTTTAAATTTTCACCTGTGTGGTGGTAGTAAACTTAGGCAAGTGGCAATGGTGTCTTCAACTATCTGTCTTATCATTTGTTTTTCAGATACCAACAGTTGCGATCATGGCTTGGACTGATGCAGATCATGCTTTTCTTGTTGGAACGTTTTTTTTTTTTAAGTCTGGTGAACATATAATTGCATAATTGAGAGCTTTTTGTGCTCATTTCCTCTCACGATGCAATGATGCTGTTCCAGATAGAAAATCGATACTTCTGTTAGTTGAAAATTTCAGGGCCACAGGTTTAACGCTTAAAAATCACCTGGAAGACCTGAAAGCGCTCGAAATTCCGGATGATGGAAAACTTAATAAATCGTCTACAACAGTGAATGTCGAATGGAGGTCATCATTTAGAGGATACGACTGGGAAACCCAAACTATAGCGATTTGTTTAAACAATATAGAAATATTTTTAAATAGCAGTTCTCTTGGTCTTTTGTCAAGCTTTGAATATGTGAGGTATTTCTGCCGCACCATATATATATATATATATATATATATATATATATATATATATATATATAGAAAAAATTTTGAAAAAAACAAACAAAAAATCCTTAAATGCAATTATGTTGTTTAAAATGAATGAAATGTCGACGTCTGACATATCGGTTTAATAAACCTTTTTCAAGACAATATTCATTAAATACAATTCAGTTCAAACAGATAAGACGATGGTTATAAACAATAAGTCTTATCAAAACAGATAACTGAAAATTTTTTAAATGATTGCTTTCCGTTTGAACGTTGTCGTCACATTGATAAGAAAACTTGTTGTCGACATTTCCATTCATTTTAAATAAACATAAATTTAAGGACATTTTTTTCAAAATTTTTTCTTCATTCTGTCGAATTTATATCCATTTACATTTGCTTACATATATGTATATATATATATATATATATAATTTAATGAAGATAGACAGCTTTAAGAGTCCATGGTTATAACTTATTTCCCCAGAGAGAGTTTCTTTTCCCTGGATCATCAGACCTCACTGCAAAAGTCTACAATTCTTTTTTACTATATATACATATATATATATATACATATATATATATATACATATATATATATATATATATATATATATATATATATATATATATATGTGTGTGTGTGTGTGTGTGTGTGTGCCTTCCTCTCAGCCAGGCACCGATAGCTCAGGGTAAAATCAGTCAGGTTTCGATATGGCTTATATTATAACCACACTGATGAGCTGCGATACAGAAAACAGTCTGTCTTAATGACAATATATGGTTACAATTTAATTCCTGTCAAGCACTTTTGGGAGAAAGCACGAATTTGTAGACAATGACTGCTAATGCTAATACTGCAAAGCTCTTCAATTAATTGAGCCCACTCGGTGATTGGCGTGTTTATTCGAAGCATAAGTACGTAAAAATTAGCCTTCCTTGCAACCGGGCGCTGATAACTGAGGGATAAAGTCTTCGACTGGCCACACTGATGAGCTGTGATACAGCGAAACAGTATTTGTGGATGCCTATATATATAAGTGAGCATAGAGGTCAACACTTAAAGGCGACAGTCTGTTTCATTCGTCACGACGATTGCGTCTAGCATGAAACAGACTGTTGCCCTCTAATGACTTCTATGTTCACTTTTATATTTACACGCTATATCTCTGATATTGAGCACTTTATCCCATAAATATAGCACACCTTAAGACTATATTTCTTCATATATATATATATATATTTGAATAAAAGACAGACCACGTTAAGATTCCATGTAATAAGCTATTTCACCATAACCCCTTTAACAGGGTTCTGGATCATCAGACTTTACTTCCAAAAGCTGAAAAAAAAAATACATATACAATATATATATATATGTTTCAAATTGAATCCGATAAAACAAAACGCAGCAAGTTGTATCAGTCACGTGTAATGACGTGCCATTTTTTGGAATGTGCATTCAAGAATATTTAGTTTTTTTTTTTTTGCAAATGGATTTACGGGGCGTATTGATTTAGCGGATTATATATATATATATATACAAACTAGTATGTGCGTGTGTAAGAGACCTTGTATTGGGTTAGTATTACAAAATGACATTGGGATAGCTGTGAATTCACACAATAGTGTCGATAGTTGAGTTGACAATGGACAAGCGAACACTTAAGGCAAGCACTCCCCCCAAAACAACCTTACTGCTTAGGCTTTTACAGAAACTGTCAACCGTGACAAGCGTCCTTATTATTTCTTTTCATCTAAATTGAAGCTTCTTTTCATCGAAACTATCCACGTCGTCACTATGGCCGTTAGTAAACAGCGCGAATCAGAAATGAAGAAGCACAAAGTTGTATGTTTTTCTTGAAGTTAATCGTAAATTCTATTGGGAGATATCTATTGCAAGCGAGAGAGTGTGCACGCAAAGAAGCGTTATACTTAAAGAGAAAAAAAAAACTTCTACGACGAGTCTCTTCTATAAAAAAATATTCGTCTAATGATGGCGTTAAAGTTAGATATAGTTTCAGAGTTAAGGATTCGTTCCTATTAATCCAGACTACTCCTGTTGTAACGCACGATATCATTCAACTTTTTCCCGTTAGATTGTGAGTGATACAAGATATACGCAGTCACAATATCTGTCTAAATTTACAGTAGCCTGGTGTATAGCATTGCAGTGAAATATTTGCATCCCATTTTGAAAATATTGCTGGTATATTGGAACGTTTCCTGTATTGCAAGACAATTCCACATTATTCTAAGCTCACTTGTAATACCAGACAAAATTCACCTGGAGAAGGTTAGAGAATGGACCAGCTGATAAGATGTGGAAAAACAAAAAAAATATGCTGACAATTTAAAAAAAAATAGAATACTGAATATTGAAAATGAAAAACAAAACTAGACTATAGTGATGCTGCAAGAAAATCTAAAATCAACCATTGCATGTTTCCCAGAGTTATTAGAAAATTGGGCAATGGTCAAACGAAGAAGAACGCATTGGTCGAAACATCTATTAAAGAAATTAAGAAAAATACCACGACAGGTCTGTCTGTCTCTCTCTCTCTCTCTCTATATATATATATATATATATATATATAGAGAGAGAGAGAAGCAGGTTGATAGATATAGAAATGACCTAAATAAAGAGATATGATCAACTGTACATGAGAGATTACGTACACAGACAGTTGAGCAATTAACTATTTATTCAATGGTGTAGACAAACATTGCTCAATGTAGATAAACAGAGTTATAAAGTATATATTAATAATTACACATATACATAAGGTTAAAGTACGACTCAGAGTTTCATGGTTTTTCCTCATTCATCAGGTACAAAATGAACTGTTCAATACATGTGTTTTCTTTTTCAACAAAACAAAAGAATCGTATTGAACAGTTCATAACTTTTTTTAATCTAGAGATATATCTCCAATTTGTAATTTGCATGTTGGGATGTCTCTTTTGCTACCAACCATATATTCAGTCTTCTTTCAATTGATGTTTAGTCCGTTTTTCTCGCTTTCCTTCACTATCTTCTGTAGTTTTTTCTTCCGGTGTCTGCTTAAAGAAATAAAAGAATAACACCGTGATGAGGCACATAGTGAGGATCGAAATCGCTACACCAGTCAATTGGTCTGAAAATCTATTTTGAGCACCATTACTGCAGACAATCCATACACACAGGCAGAATAGAAATGATAATCCTAATAAACAGTGTTTATATATTTTCATATGTATCACAATATTGACTTAAAATCAACACTGCATAGGGGTTCATGCCTCATTGCGATCTTCAGTGGTCAACCGCTATATTGCGGAAAGCATCTGCCCGCAAAGGTTGTCAGCGCCGACATTGGAACCGGTAAGGTGAGTTCAATTTATCGTCTCGTTTGTTGCGTTCGCTTGCGCTGAAATGCCGCTGGGAAAGTCACTCCGTTGTTTATATATTTAAGACGATATTTATTCGTATCACAACGTGGGAATGGGGGTGAATTCATTAAAGACGTCATCATCAAACGTGAAACCGTGTTTGAAAACAGACAAGTAATCAGATAATTACTGTCTTTAAAATACTTAAAGAAACTCTTTTGACAGCCTCTCACCAAAGGGAAGTATTTGTTGATTTTAAAGTGATGAAACTATGTCAAATAATACGAAATATTATTGATAACGAAATACGGAAAGGATTCAGTTAATTGCTGCTCGCCTTGTAACGTCCACACAGTTGAAGCAACCGCATTGCCTACGCAAGAGGGATGTTATACACAGAAAGCTTCTTCCAAACAACTACTACATTTTGGAACTAACTGCTTCGTTGATGCTTCTCATAACACTAAAATCTCCATATCACACGCCTCATTCAGTAGCTCTCTACCTGGAATGGCTCTTGGACCTTGTATCAACAATAACGTAAAAAATGGTTTCCGATATTCGTAGTCTGGTACAAGGTTCTTCTTGGTTAAGAGCGTCAACCATGTATCCATGGATTTTGTTTATTTTGACTCAGAGCCACAGCAGTACAACTCAGCTTAATATCGTAATAATGAAAAAAATAAATAAAAGTAACATCGTGATGGGACACCTAGTAATGAAAAGCCCACGAAGAAGACTATCTTGCGCATCCTTACGGCTGACAATATATACACATACATAGAATGTAAATAAAAATCCACAGGTGAAAGTTACCACATCCGATTTTCATATATATCACAATAAGCACATCAAATTCCTGCCTCAGTGGTCAACCGTCATATGGCTAAATCGATGTGCGTGTAGCGTAAAGCTTGACAGTGCTAAAATTAGAAACGGCGAGCTGAGTTCAATCTACCGACTCATCAGTTTTGTTCACTTTCGCTAAAAATACCCCCGGAGAAAGGCGTAAACCCCGATTTAATTTCTTGTATGATTTAAAAATTGAAGTAAACCGAGTTTCTTAGCCTTGAGTAAATCTTAAAGAAAAACTTTTCTTAAATTAGAATCGTGTTCCGAAGGGAACGTGAAAATCACTCCACTGCCATTCCAAAGATGTCATAGCAATTTGAGATAAAGAAATGGAATGAGTGGAGAGCCATAATTATATACGCGCTGAAGGGACATGGCATTATAAAAAGAAATATATGGCTAAGTTCATATTGATCTGTATACTCCATTTCATTGCAAATATTGTTGTTTGGGTACACAGATTAATTATCGAAAAAACAATAGATTGCCATTTCCAAGATGTATACTTCAAATGTTCCCCAGATTATAATCAGAGGAAAGAGAAATTTACGCATGTTTAAAATGGAACTGCATTTTTATTTTATGTTAAAGGGAATTAGAATTGATATCAATTCCCTAGTAACTAAATCTAACCACGTTAAGGGAGTTTTTTTTAACAGAGGACTGAAATCCAAAGGTCCACTGGGATAGCAAAAGATGCCTTTCAAAAGCTAAGTATTAAGAAACGGGAAAATTCTGATAGAAAGAAAGAAAATATTACTGAACTGTTATGTAATATCGGTCCTCCTATATGGCAATAAATACTGGACAATCTCATCACAGATGAAGAATAGAGTTGTCAAACAGAAAAGTGTTTCTATAGAAGGATGCTGAGAATAACATGAACTGGACACGTGACAACGGAGTTTTAGAGAAAAATGGAAACAAAAAGATACTTATATATAGAATTAGAAAGAGAGAGTTGAAATTTCCAAGAAATAAGGAAAAGTGGCTTGGAAAATTTGGTACTCACAAGACATCGAAAACAAGTTGGACAGCGAAAAGCAGAAACTAAGCGATCTAAGGAGCAGAACAGAGAGAGAGAGAGGAGAGGGAGAGGGAGAGAGCACAAATACGAAACTAACCGCTACAAACGATAGAAAACAGTAAGCACATGTCCTGAATGGACAGTGAACATAAAAGAAAGTTTTTGCAAAAGAATGTTTAGAACCACCATTATATGCTATAGAACACTCTCGCCATATCTATGTCCTTTAATAGACACTGGGCTATACAAATGTTTTTAACAAATATCAAAACGCTACACCCTCAAAATATGACATGTGGGTGACATGCATGATACACCCTTGCCTCGTCAGTCATGTATCAAACATGACGCAGTAGGTTGCCATTTGATTCCGCGGTTGACCAGTTGCCACCCGAGGCCAGTCTGTCCTATTTACCTATTGCTGGGGAGAAGAGGATTCATACCTTTCTCAAGCACGTAAGTGAATGTAATGGATTCGACTGGAATCCGAGCCGCTATCCATTACACCACTGTACACTGATAATGACAAATGCTGAACAAGTGCAGGTTCTCCTGTAGTGAATACTGGGTAATTTCCTTAAAAATGAAGAGGCCATAGAAGTGTAGATCAACAGGTGAATGTTTAGAATACCATGGACAGGACACGTGAGCAATGACAAAGTTGTAAAGAAAATTGGAACCAGGACGACATTCATACTTAAAATCAGGTAAAAGAAGCTGAGATGTATCGGAAACATTATTAGACGGCTTTAATATTCACACGACGTATAGAAGCAAGAAGTGGAAGAACTGATGCGTCTGCGTGAATGGATGACAAAGCAAGTTTAAGAAGATATAGTAAAGATTCAAACGTTGCTTAGGGCTCCAAAGGTCAAGAAATTCCGGAGGGCCATTATCGCCGAGGTCTTGAAGGGATATAGCATATAAATGTCTGCAGGTAGCGTAATTTGTTATTGTGTAGTTAGCATAACGGTTATCGGCGCTGAAAGCAGAATCGGCGACTTTAGTTCAAAGAAACAAAAAGAATATGATCACAACTTCCAACAACCATTTGAAGGATAATAACACTTTCAAAATTATAAGAGGTCATTTTTTTAAAAAAAGTTAGTTATATACCAAACGTCCGGTTCACACTCCTCCCCAGTCTCTTAGACAGAAGTAGAGTTTAATCACATGTTTTCTGTTTAGAATTCGGTTTTCGGTTCCTTCTAAAGTCTACTTCAACTCTATAATCCTAACGTCTCAACCTGAACTCAGAAATTTTATTCGCTAATTAAATCTTGACCTCTTCAAGTCTAGAATTAGTTCCTGTTATGATGCGCTTTCTTACGCTAATAAAACTCCACACAGTAATCCTCTACCTTGAGTGGCTCTTGGGAAGTGTATTCGGTGAACAATAAAGCTTCAATCAGTTTTGTAATACAGGTTTAAAATTTAAATTTATTTCTGATAAAAAAAAGAATGTATATACATATATATATTTTTTTTTTTTGTTTATCTTTGGAAAGCAATTATTATTTTCTGTTGAGTTAAAAGGAAAATCGAATCATCACGAAAGGGAATAAATTTATACAATGAAATCTAAAACACATGCAACGTTCAATAGGAATAACTTTTATAATTCTAATTTCATAATAAGGGAAGCCAAAAACAATCGCTGTTTCGATTTAACATGCAAAGTTTATTTTTCTTTTGCCCGTTTTGTCACGGTTTCTCGAATAGAAATAAGCGTAGGTGTTTTCGAATGCGAACTTTCGAAGAAATTAGAATAACAATTCACCATATAAGGAAAAGGAAAGAAAAGAGAAAGCGAGAAAGAGAAAGCGTGAAAAAGGAAAGAGAAAGGGAGCAAAAAGGAAAGAGAAGAGAAAAGAGAGAGTAAAAGGAAAGAGAATGAGAGAAAAAAGAAACAGAAAGAGTGAAAAAGGAAAGAGAAAGAGAAGAGGAAAGCGAGAGTAAAAGGAACGAGAAAGAGAGAAAAAGGAAAGAGAAAAAAAGGAAAGCGAATGGAAAAAAGATAAAAATAAAAGAAACCAAATGAAGATGTGTAGGGGAGAGAAAGAGTAAAACACAAGAAAGAAAAGAGAAAGAAAAGAAAGAGATACGAGGGAGAAAAAACGGAGGAAACGAAGGAGGAAAGGAAAGACAGGAAGATTTGTATAAAATAAAAAGAAATTGCGCGCGAGTGTTCCAAGATATCGTATAACCGAAAGCGATTAGGGGAAAGAGAAAATCGAAGAAAAAATATCAAGGGGTAGATATGGTAAAAACAAATGACGTAGAGGTGGCGGGGGAGATAAAAAAAATGATAAATAGAGTGTAACAAGAAAGAAGAAAATACCTACGTGCGAAGGAGATACTTCGTATTTAGAATAGACGCCCCATTTTTATTTATCAAACAGTGTGTACTACGTCTATCAGCCAGCACATTCGACAAAAAATGAGCAAAGGAAATGGGTTCGCTGACAAGTATCGAACCTGCGTCCACCTTTCTAGGGGAAACCAGCATTTGATCCAGTGTCCTTTGCCGCTCGGCTGCAAACGTAATACACAATCTTATATATGTTTCATTAAAGATGACTGACAAGTTTCTGCGATTAAGCTTCTTATTTAATTTTTCTTGTTTTCTTACAAGTGTTTTCTTTTCTGTGTGTAAAAACTGTCCAAATGTTTTGCAATTCCAAGCGCATTGGGCTATTCTTTTAGCCATTTTCAAGGATTTTTAGTTTTGAAATCTATGTATGAATTGTGTGTATGTATCTAGAGTTATAAGTATGTTTAATTTTCCAAACACGATCAATACATTTTGGTTGTGTTCGTAGTTAATGTTACTAAGCGTTGGCTTTTTCTTTTTTATTATTAGAACTTCCGTTATTTTTAATCTTTTTTACATGTGGATGAGGTTATTATTCTTATAGTTTCTTCCAGTATTTTTCGGATGGAGTCTGTTCGGTTTGTTTGTGTGTTCAAAAGTGTTCTAATGGAGCTGCAGTCGGATTGGTGTAACATAAAGTCATCTGGATATTCACTTAGTAGTGTGACCGATGTAATTATTTATGAGTTTGCTTTGACCAGAAACATAGTTCTTTAAGGGGTATTTGAACTCTTAAATAATTTTAGTTCTTTGTAGTTTTTATTTTAATGGTGTGTTGTTATTTTTAGGATAAGATTAGCTGTTTTATATTTCTTGTAATAAATTAATTTTATTTTTTTCGGGCCAACTGGGGTAGTTTTTTTTTTTTTTCATGTTACTGTATTCTACAGGACAGAAGACGAGCCCAACAACAAGCTGCATAAAAACAAAGAATGGAACGTTCACATTAGAGAAGGAAAAATTCTTCAGCACTGGTACGTATATATTGGAGAACTCTTCCACAATGAAAGAGAACAACCAACAATACACAAAACTACAGACGGACCTGGAATTCTAAAAACTGAAGTAGAAGCTGCACTGGCGAAATTGAATAGAAACAAAGTGGTAGGGCCAGACGGAATTGTAACGGAAATGCTGACAGCCTTAAAGGATTTTGTCTTAGACAAGATCACAGAAATAAGAAATTAAATCTACAACAGCGGAGATATACCGGAAGATCTCAGCAGATCTATCTTCATAGTACTGCCTAAGAAAGCAGGAGCAAACGAATGTGAAATCTACCGAACAATCAGCCTAATGAGCCACATAACAAAACTCATCATCCGTATTCTCCTGAATAAAGCGTGCAGCAGACTCAGGCCAGAGATATGACAATAACAGTGCAGGTTCTTTAAAGACACCGGAACAAGGAATGCGATATTCATGCTTAGAATGTTATCAGAAAGAACAATATAAATGCAGAAGGACGTGCGTCTGTGTTTTATAGACTACGCAAAGGCGTTCGACAAAGTAAGCCACAAAGATCTGTTGGAACTATTCGGGAAAGATATTAAAATAATCAAGAAACTATACTGGCACCAAACAGCATACGTGCGCATAGAGAACTAAGGTCTACAAATAAACGAAATTTGAGAAAAGATGCGAATAACTGAAAGTATTTAATTCGTTCATGAAATCAATGGGAAATCGATATGTAAGTGTTCAGTATTGGTCATACATTTCACATAAGATAGACGAGAAGGGACTAAGCATAAACTCCAAGAAGACAGAATGCATGATCATCAGTAAAAGGATGAGACAGAAATGCGATTTGCAGGCCAGGAACATTAGAATCACGCAGACGCTGAAGTTCAAATATCTGGGAAGCGTCTTGACAGAAGACGACGGTAGGTGCGATGCTGTGATCCGAAGAAGTATTGGGATGGCCACGGATACATTCCAAAAGCTAGGCAGAGTATTACAAGACGGCAGTATTTCTTTGGTTACAAAGAAAAGAGCACTGAACTGCTACGTGATATCTGATACGGCAGCGAATGTTGGACGGTCTTCTCAAAGATGAAGAAGAGACTCGATGCAACGGAGGTATGTCTCTACAGAAGGATGCTGAGGATAGCATGAATCGAGCGTGCGAGCAACGATGAGATTTTGGAGAGGATGCAAACAAGGAAGAAGCTTATACTTGACATCAGGAAAAGGCAGCTGAAGTATCTGGGGCACGTAAATAGAATGGTGGGCTTGGAGAATCTGATACTCACATGGCGAATATAGGGAAATAGGATGACAGAACCGGGTCCTGTTGCCCGATATAGGATCTTCCAGCAGCCAACCCCTTGACCTAGGACATCACTACTTCCTCAAGGCACTTGACGTAGGCCTCCGTGTTGAGTCTGAGGCCCTGTGCGAAGACGAATTGAGACATAAGGTCGGCATCACTTGTGACCACTCCATACACCTTTATAATCACCTTTAGACGGTGTTAGTATGGGAAACCCGCTCGACCCATGCTTCGCCAGTTGCTACATGTTCCACGTAGAAAACATATGTAAAAAGGTCACTAAATCTAAAATATATATCGGCTACGTAGACGATATTTTTATTTTAGCGAAAAACAAACAAGAAATAGATAATCTCAAAACCACATTTGAAAAAAACCCCAAAAGACTCTGTTCTTAACTTCAGGACGTAGGCGATCATGGCTCTTCACTTCCTACAATCTCTTGTAGCTCTCAATAAACATGGCACGTGGAACTAGAACAGTCTACCCCAGTGAGCGAAATAAAGGGTTCAGTTCGACTTTCCAACCGCCTGAAGAAGGCCGGAGCATACAACGACCGAAACGTTGTAATAAATATGACGACAAAGATGAGGACGATAGTCCGAATAATGTAAATAATGTATTTAGTATAATATATATGAATATCAGTTACTAATCTGTGTACAATGTGGAGAAAATTATAAATTCTCACAATATCAATATTATTAGAGAATTTAATGCTAATCAATTAAAAAATATATATTTCTACCTTTAATTGCAGGGTAAAAATTGAATGCCCAGTGGGATGATTATGTATGACAGAAAATGTGGTGTATAAAGCCACGATCTCCACCAAAGAAAATACAAACCAAAAAAAGGTTTACATTGGAAAATCTTTGGGGAATTGGAAGCTGTGCCTTTATAACCATCGCCTTCCTTCACTAATGAACCCCTTAAGCACCAAACAGCGCTGTCTAAATGCTATATATAACCAAAGTTCTTCGTAATGCTGGAAACCAAAAAAAAAAATCTGAACAAAATAAATGGGACTGTGAAATGCATGACCAATACTGAACACTTACATATCGATTTCCCATTGATTTCATGAACGGATTAAATACTTTCAGTTATTCGCATCTTTTCTCAAATTTCGTTTATTTGTAGACTTTAGTTTACGTAATAGAAAACGTAGAACAATTTCAAGCCTTATAGCAAAACAACTTTTCTAACTGCTGGTTGCATTTTTCTTTTTGCTTTATTATCGCTAAACACTTATCTTTCTATGTTACCAACTGACAATCTTCTGCCTTACTCTCTTCAGTTATAAATACTTAATCTGGTTTCAGGTAAATTCTTTTTATCTTTAGTTTTCTTTTTGTTGTTAATGTTACGTATAAACTTTTGTTTATAATGTGTGTTTTTTTTATTTTTATTTTCAAGATCTTTATTTCTTTTACTTTACGTACGAGGTCACACAGACACAATCATTTATCTCTTCCCCCAACCAAGCCATACCTTCCCGATTGCACTTAAGAGAGCATAGTCAGGGACAATCCCTGATGCCTGAGGCATTCCAAAAAGAAGTGGCAATAGAACTAGACAACTTACAGAAGCAGGAAAAGACCGACTCCTTGAAGAGAAAACTACAATATTATGTTCACGAGTTTATCAAACACCGTCATTTTTTTGAGTCATGGGTAAACTTATATATATATATATATATATATATATATATATATATGTGTGTGTGTGTTTGTGTGTGTGTGAGTGAGAGAGAGAGAAATTCGTTGTGGTATTTTTCGTATTTTTTATTAGACGTTTCGACGGATGCGTTCTTCTTCATTTGACCATTGCCCAATTTCCTAATAACTCTGGGAAACATGCAGTGGCTGATTGTAGATTTCCTTACAGCATCACTGCTGTCTACTTTTGTTTTTCATTTTCAATATTCAGTATTCTATTTTTTTAAATTGTCAACATTATTGCTGTTTTTCCACGTCTTATCAGCTGGTCCATTCTCTAACCTTCTCCAGGTGAATTTTGTCTGGTGAATTGTCTGGTATTACAAGTGAGCTTAGCATAATGTAAAAGTCGCTTGCAATACATCCAACGTTCCAATATACCAGCTATATTTTTAAAATGGCAAAATATATATTTCACTGCAATGCCATACATCAGGCTGCTGTAAATTTAGACAGGTATTGTGACTGCCTCTACCTTGCATACCCCACAATCTGAACTAGTATATATATATATATATATATATATATATATATATATATATATATATATATATATTCATAATGATAAAATAGGAAACGTTTAGAAATTTAAAGTTTCGCTTTTATTTAAGCTTCATCAGAATTTGTTTAAATTAGTTATTTTAAAGTATTCTGATGAAGCTTAAATAATAGCGAAATATATGAAATTTAAAAAAATCCTTATTCTATAATTCTGTCGAATTTATTTACTCCACAGACACATATATCTCGATAATATTCCTTGTTTTACATCTTTAATCAGATTTACGTGAATAAGAGAATGCTAATCTCGAAACCTGCCGTCGAGCACAGCCTATTTTCTTCATTCATTTTTCTCGAGTGCACAGACCGATAGACGCAATAAAAAAAGCAAAAAAATTCATTGCCTCTATTCAAACATGAGTGTCCTCTAAAAATGTTTGGAACAATAATTATATATTAATAATTATACT